CTCCAGATGTTCAAGCGTCTGAATTAATTAATCAGGGCTGGCCCAACCAGCTGATGTTACTTCCCTGCGACACACAAAAATTGCCAATGAGACTCTGGTAGCACTGGTGCTCAGCAATGAGTCAATCAGGGTGGCTGGATCCAAAGATCCAAAGGAATCTACTCATTCCTCGCTCGTTCTGCTCTTTTTGCGAGTCGCCCCAGTCTGCCTTTCACCGAAAACCCGACAAAAAAGCACACTTCCAGGGCTCTCTTTGGGCTCCCGGCACTGATGAGGCCCCCATAGGCTTCGAGGTCCACCAAGACCCGCTGTTCCCTGCAGCACTTCGGGGGGTGAAGCCGTCTGCGGCTGTGCTCTCTGTGGTGAAGCGCTTGGGCTACGCAGTGGCGCCGGGTCAGGACTCGAAGGGTGGGTCGGTGATGTTCTTCGCGTTCTTCCTTTGAATCCACCGGCTAACTGCCAGAGTCACATGATCATAAACAAACTAACAACACATGGTGTCCTAAGATATAACATCCGTTATGATATGTTATCATCTACATCCTAAGATATGTTTTTTTTGCACATGATGTAGATCTCGTGACATCCGGGCTTGTTGATGTGGACACCCCAGAAATGTTCCGCTGAAAACCCATCCCCTCATGTTCCCATATGTTTTGGCTGAGTGTTCTGCCCCGTTCTCGTCATCCCAGCCTGAACTGCCACAGCCCCTTCAATGCACGGGACAGCTGTCGACCCCGGGCCAGGCAAACGAGCAAGGCGTTGTAGGCCACCGCCTGAGTGAGGACGACTAGGCGACTCTCCAAGCAATTCAGACCTGGGCCCATGATGTTCGATGATTTTGGCGGAAGGTTCCTCAACAAAGCACCTCACAAAAGAAGCAAACTGTAGATCTACAGTGGTTTCTTGATGCTTTGCGAACACCCACATGATCACGATGCAAAAAAACCTGCCACCCCCCACGTACCACTCACCCTCGCATTCCATCGTTTGGCATCAAATGTTGCTCTGGTCTACAATCCAGCACATCGGATTGAAGTTGAAGTGCTATAGGCTGGGCTAGATAGATTGACTGGAAAAGAGGTCGAACAACGGCATGCGGGGTTCAAAGATCGGAAGATCGGGAGCGCATGGGTGTCGGACGACTTTGGGACCCAAGGATCTCAATTCCTTCAAGCAAATGATGATATCCTTTGAACTCGCTGCAAAACGGTCCTGCAAACGGTCCTTGTGCTTTCCTGCTTTCCCTCTCTGCTTCCACGTCAGATGTGGACCGGGACTGTGAACGGAGGAGCGTTCGGTCATTCGAACGTGGCGCTTCAGCGATGTCCTCCTCACAGGCGATCTGGCGGCTCGTAGGTGGTGTTTAAACATCATAAGCATGTTCATAAACAATCTCCCAAATCTAAAGCAATTGGAATCTCATAATCTTACGCCATGAGAAATGCCATCCAAATATACCCTGCTCAAAACTCTTGGCTCAATTCCCAAATGGTGATTGTATATCAGGCTTTGCCAAAAATGGTCTTGGGCAGCCAGGAGTTCTGGAGGGGGCTTTGTTCCAAAATCAACAAGTTGGGATGAGAAGACCGCATCAAATCACCAGCTTCGGCCCAACGGAATGGGATTCCAAACATCTGACGACTCTGGAGCCGGATCTCTGGACTTCTGGAACATTGATTTGCATGATGCAACCCATGATTCCCCATGAGTTGCAGCCACACCCATGTTAAGATGCTTTCGGCTAATCCCCACTTGGAGCCGTACCAAAAATATCCGCATCTCTCAGCTGGGGCACTGCGGGCTCTCGCTGTTGAAGCTGTTGAAACTCTTGAAACGCTTGAAGTGCTTGCCTCTGTACGAAGCTGTGCGAAGTCAAAGGAGACAAACCCGGCACCATGACATGAATCTGCGAGCCTCGAAATGAACATCTACCAGCTGTTGCATATCCAACCAGTCGTTCCGTGACACCTTTTGACACAGGGCAAACAAAACGCCTGGGTGAAACGCACGCGGCAAGTGTTGGCAATTGGTTTTTGCAACTTTTTTTCGCATGAATGCAAGTTGAAGAGTATATACTTGAGATGGATTCGGTTCTTGTCAGGAGTTCGTCCTAGTGGCGGAAACGACTTGCTCAAGAACAGAAGCAACTCAAGACGAGGTCCATGCGACTGACCATTTTGTTGTGATTTGGCTTCCATCCACATCAATCCGAGCCATATCCAGTGGTGGATTGGGGCCTTCTCGGCCTCACAACAATGAGGCTCTCGGCTCTTGCAAATCGAAATGATGAACCATGATGAAATGACTGGGGTGTTCACTGGCCAACGAAGTGTGGCTGTGGGTCACACTCGGCTGTGACCAGACTCTCACCAGACTGGTGGGACGGCCCTTCGGTCGCGTCGTTCTTCTGCGGACACCCGGGCATCCGATGCGGAACCGGTTCGTTCGCGCGAGCGGTGAACCGGCGGCCTCCAGGCAGATTGATGCCTCAGCGGAGTGAGACGACGTAGCTCCGAACGGAACCGTCGACGGGCAGTCGCCGTAGACGCACGGCGTTCCGCTCGGACGCGAACGGAACGTGAGGGGCCTCCTGGCCGCAACCTACGAACGGAACAAGAGGACGCTAGCTAGGAACAGGAGCGGGTTTGTTCGGTGCTTTTTCTTCGCCGCAGGTGGAAAGCCGTGGTCTTTCATGGAGGGAACCCTCTGCCTACTCAACTTCCAAGAGGCAATGAGCGCATCATGTGGACTTTGCCTTCAACTCCTCAAGTATGCTCAAGTAAGGGAGATCTTGCAGCTGGCATCCCCCTGTCCCTTCTGGAGGGGGGGTCTTGAGATCCATTTTATAGATATGAAATGGTGGTCCCAACCTGCAGTGGGCAGCCTAACTTGAAGAACCTGACATCAATCCTCAAGTCCTAAATTGACCTTGCCTGATGTCATATTCCAAGCATACAGTGAAGCAATGGAAATAGTCTGTTTCTTTGCGCTCAGATCGTCTGTCTAAGTCCAACCCCTGTCCTGACCCCTCCTCTCCATATTTTTTCAGGTTCATTGCCTTCTACTATCATTTCCCAATGGTCTGCCCACACCTTAACCGCCTGCCAAAGCCAATGTTCTGGCTTCCTCCAGAGTTCTTCCCAGGCCTGTTCCAGGGGCCCTCCTAGTGAACTACGGCGGAGCCTGCATCTTTTCCGTTTTCGCCTAAAACATTGTTTGTTATTTTCTCATCTGACGATCATGCCACATCATGGTGCTTGTTTCCACCACATTCAGCAGCATCAGACTCATGCCCACACACACACACACACAATTCTCTATAAAATGATGACCTGACCCCCTGGGTGTGGCTGCTCTAAAACGTTTCAAATGGGGCTGACCCGGCTGACCACCCTCATTTCATAGAGGTAATGGGCAGGGTGATCAGCTGGCAGAGTTCAACCTCGACTGATCAGCTGGCAGAGTTCAATCTCGACAGGAGTAGCTCCCAAATATCCTTTCAATCACTAGGCTCGTGGCTAGACCAATGGCTTAAGAAGTGCAACAAAAACAAGCCCTTTCAATCAAGAACTCATTCAAAGAAATTTGTTGTCCACCTTCCCCCCACGTTTGCAGGAGATTCAACGTTGTTGCGGGAGCTTCGTCACGTCTCTGATCTCGCCCACGGGTCCACAAGGATTTCGAGCCCGTCAAAAACGTCCAACTGCGGTCGGGTCGCCCAAGCACCCCAAGACTTCGCGCGAGCTCTCTGCTCATGCATGGCGCTGGCACTCACATTCGGCCGTCGCCCCGCCGTCGTGATGAGAAGTCGTGAAAGCGAGCGAGTGGTTGAAGAAGAGTTCACCAAACAAGATCCAAACGAAGCACCTTTTGGGGAGAGTTCTGCGTCATCTTTTGGGGAGTGTGTGAATGCGTGCCCTTGGAGACCTTGAGCAAATGGCATCGCGATCTTCTCTGAGTCTGTCTCTGTCTCAGATAGATCAATAATTCCATTGAGGATTAGCTTAGAGACTTACTTCGAAGCCTTGTTTTTGGTGAGTGCATTCCTGTCACGTGTAGCGCTTTCGGATGGGCCCACGTCTTCCATCGAAATTACCGCCGCGTAAAGTCGTCACGCGGGTCCACTTCGCGACGGACGATCACGAGCGACACGGGTGATGATCACGTGCCAAGGTCAGTCTTCATGCGGGTTTTCCCCAATGGATATCGTGGATTGTTATGCCTTTTCCTGAGCACCGGGAAAACCATGGACATTCCTTCTTCCATGGATTCTTGCGATTCTCCCTCCCTCTGCCCAAATATCTACGTATGGTGTTATGGTATACCGATTAGAAGCACAGGCCAGTTGTGCCAACGGGTCTTTGTTCTGCGAGACCGGCTGAGGACCATCACTGCAAAGATGGGGTGATCGGGGAACTCTTAATGCAAGAATCACCAACATGCTTAATGATACAAAAAAAACAGTTGTAGCTCAACATAGCTCAACGAAGTATACCTGCCGGCACACAATCTCACTCCAAATCCGACGAATGGAGAATTTTCAAACTGGGGTGAAAAGTATGGGCTCCGCCCGGCTCCAGCGGTTCTTTGCAATGGCACGCACAGTACTTTTTGCTCCACGTGCAAACCAGCAGTGCTTTGCCACGCCGGGCTTTGTGCACGGAGCATCCTGAAGTGTGCTTTGGAGCTCAGGGGGGCCGCACCGTCTGTGTGGGTATAGTGGATGGAGAGGTTTCAAAAGGTTTATATAAGGACCCCCATGTAAAAGACATGTAGGGCTTTGTGCCATCTACTCTGAAATTGTCGTTTCTTTCAACCCCCCAAGCCTGTTTGGAGGATCTTCAATCCATGTCTGTGGGGGTTGTAATGTGATCAAGATGCTACATGACCGGGAACTGGATGGCCTTTGACCGCCAGAAATCACTAAGAACATCTCGATCCCCAAAACTCCCGCTCAACGACATGCTCTCTTCTCTCCTCTTCGCCAGGCTCGCACCTTATGAGGTACAAACCAGGAAATCAGCCCAGGCTTGGGCCTTTCCTCGGGTCGCTCGGGTGCGACGCTTCGTTCGATCTGTCTGTTGTTGGGGGGGACGGAGGTCTCGACAGTGCTGGAACGGGTGTGTTTAGACAAAACACCCTGGCCCTGGCTGGGTAGCCGGGTGTATTTCCCGAACTGAGGAGGTCGAACGGGGAGGTCTCCCTCTTCTAATACACACCCATGTCTCTGTAGTGTATTGGTCAGTCCATTCAGCATGCCTCTCTGAAACAGGAAGGAAGCTAGGCATGCTGTACAATGCATACTTTGTGAAGAAACCAAATGCTGATCAATGATCATCATGATCATCCATTCTCCCCTGGCCTGGTGCATCCTGGATTCGGCTCACTGAGCTAGCACCGGCTTCTTCGGGGGTCCGGTGCTTGGTGCTTCGTCTAAGACTTCGGAGCGCCCACCCTGCACTGCACGCGGGGCAGTGCTGATATTCAAAGAATGAAGTGGCTGTTGTCTGATTCACGAAGGGTGGTGCCCGTAACCGAATTGCTCCAAAAAGACATGGTGGAATTCGGAAGGTGCCCCACTGTAATTCATGGTCGGCGTGAGCATGGCCTTCACCGTGTTTTATTCTGCATCGTAGGTGGGGGAAGGCACCTCTTTGAAGCCACAACTACTAACAGCACCGAGACACGTCTCGGGCGCGAGCCCCGCGCAGGGCGGGCTCCGTGGCCGCAGCTGGTCCTGCCGGGTTCGGCCACGATGGCCTTGGGTAGCATTTTCAGATCTGGTCCACGAAGTGGGAGGCAAGTATGAATTGGTCTTGAAATAGATGGCAGGAACAGATCTGTGCAATGGAGTTGCAGGACTTCCCATCCATTATTTCTGGTTGCCACCTTGAATCCCGACCCAAAGCTCCAGAAATGCAGGAAAATCCGCCAAGTCCAGCATCTCAGGGTTTCATTCCAGGTTTTCTCTTCACCTTCACCTTCAGTGAGCTACTCTTCACCGTTTCCTTTTCTGCCTAAGCGGGTCAAAGCCCAGAGAAAAAGCCAGGCTCGACCCGAAGAATCACGGGCGTGGCATGGTGTGGCACCGTCTTCGGAAGATCCTGGTCCCTTTTGTGAGCTGTGGTAACCATCCAGCTAGTCATCTATATATATATAATATTTGCCATTGGATGGCGCTTACATCCCCTAGGAATCCGTTGGATTATTTATTTCTATTTTGACTATTATTCCAAGGCAAACTGAAAGAAACCTGGCCGGTCGAATTCATCAACCACTCGGATTTGCTTCCTGGCCTCCATGGCAACCAAATGCACGGCATGGACGCCCTCAATGCTGGAAGAGGTGAACCATTTTGGTCAAAGTAAAGTCAAGACCAGGTACACTCCCAGTCACTCACATGGAAGTGGGAAGCCAATGGAAGCCTGTTTGGTCTTCGGATTTCATGGTCATCCCACGAGGCTGTTTCCACTTCCACGATTATGTTTTCAGGGAATGCATATTATCAGCAGCAGTATCACGTATAATTAGTCATAGAGTATCACCCGCCTCTTTTGGACTAAGCACCTCGTATTAAGGAAGAAAGTCACTGCTTGATCAAGGAAGCCCCTTAAGAGAAGCTATTTCTGATGTTACAAAGGACTGTTTCACAGCTACAGATCTCCTCACAGCCGTGTTCAACTGAAAACACCCTCCCCAGTGGAATGTCGATCACCCAATCTTTTCCCCGATTCCTTCTTCTTTCTATTGGACACTACAATCGATCGAACCTTCCTGGCAACAAATCTTCAAACCTGGTTTAAACGACAAATCTTCAAATTAGCACCCTGGAGCCTGAATCCTATTCAGAAGGGGACAACAAAGCATCCGAATAGACCGTCACCCCTGTGGTCCGAGAATCTGCGCAGCGTGTGCTGCTTGGAGTTCCATCTGATCACTCGGATGGGTAGTCAACTCCTTGAGCCAAGTGCGTTCGGAATCTTCTGTGAGGGAAGAACCCCAAGAGAGTCAAGAGTAACACCCAAAAGCTTTTAAGATCTTTTAAGTGATTCCACGATGTGAAACACAAAGCCCTTGGAAAATGCTGGTTGTGTGTCGTCTTCTCGCCCCCAGGGGTTCAAACAATGTTCCCACCTCCCGAGCAGGATACATATGTTTAAGGAAGGGCTTCGGCTTCAACAAGGCCACACAAGGCAACAATAGAACATGTTCCCGAACCATAATATTTGGGCATCCGGCAGTAGAACAAACCACCACTCAATGGTTGCGGGAGCTAACAGGAGATTGATACAGATGAACGGGCCAAAGATGGCCAGAGACTGGAGGGCTGGTAGTACGCCCACTTAGCCATTTTGGATCTGCTTGAGGAACCTGTAGTGCTGAATCTGTGCTGATTTTCTCTAGATGTCCTACAAGGAAACTTCCCAGACAAACCAGGGTCATTGGCAAGCCCCCACCACCCCGGGGCCCCCAGCAGCTTTAATACCCAGCGTGGAATTCGCATCTCGCCCAGACAAGCCCCCCCTGCCCACTCCTGTGCAGACGCAGCAGGCACCGGTGGGACCATATAGCCGATGGGCTGGCGAGTTCAGCAGAAGTGCCAAGCGCAAGCACCGCAAGCGCCGCAAGCGCTTGCGCAGTTTGGATGACAATCGTGGCAGCAACTGAAAATGGGAAAACCATGTTCCTCTCCACCTTTGTAAAGTGGGTGCAACTGTTTAGTTTTGGAGTTGATATGACCGCACTACAGAATCAAGAAGGTGCCTGAAAAGCAGGTGGAAAGAAACACTGCAACTCGAGTTGATCCAACCCAGCATTTGATCTACAACTTACAACCATCCGAATGAGTAGGCAGAATATGAACCAATCCGAATCATGACCAGTTTCCGTTCTTGGATTTCCACGTACTGTTCCATCTAGTGTAGGACGGATGAATATGAATATCTATGAATACTGTACCTTTAGCCATTCAAGCTGACATAAACAAATTATAAAAAAATCCTCTGACCAGTCTGACCATGGAAAAGACTTAGGGATCCGCGCTGGCGTGGCGCGCCACAGAGGCACACGGAAGGGCTCCCGGCCTCTTCGATGTCTCCCAAACGGAGCTCCTCTGGAGGCTCAGCCTCCCGCTCCTTGAAGCGTGGGTCTTCACTCGTTGGATGGAAGGCACCGTTTGGAAAAACAGAAGACCCTCCCCCTTAAGAAAAGAGTTGCATTCCCAAAATCTCAGGTGGTGTCAGTGTCTTCAATCCCTCACCAGTGGTGTTCTAGCAGGAAACAAAAAACCTCTGCACCATTCTGCCCCCTGAATTCACTCCCTCGTGTGTCTTGGGGTGGGAGGGGATGCTGTAGTGTAGGTCATTCAAACGCAGGCTTCCCAGGCGCTTTTCAGCCATCACACGATGAGGCATCCATGTTCACCAACCCAAAGCCTAGACACTTGTCATGGTGCTTGTTGAAACTACCCTTGGCCCGTTGATCCTACCACAAAGGTGCACAACCAGTGTTTCCAGGCCCTCAAACCATTTGGTCCAAAACTGGTAGATTCCCCCTGGTCAGGAATCTACTGGGAAATCTAGCTTGCCTCAAAGGATCTTGGCTGTTTTAGGCACATGGGTTTCATGGGTATGAATTGAAATAGGGTGACTTCCTAAAAATATATAGACTAAAAGAAACTGGTTCGTGGGTCTCCCTACTCCAATACACACCCAGATCATGCCGGCAAGGCTATGTACGTGGTGTCCGGAAAGCACTCTCTATGACTCTATGGCTATAGGCACCCAAACTGTCATGCCTCACAAGACTGATGCATAGGGCCTCAATTAGGCAGGTCGATTTTGTTTGAACATACAGAAGTCCCCGCAAACACCGGGGGGATGTTTCCCCCATAGCAATGGCCTCCACCTAATAGCGTCCTTGTTACTAGTAGTAAGGCCAGGAGCTACTAGTAGCATCCGCGCTACTAGTAGTAATGCCCTTGTTATTAGGAGCGACTTGTTGCTAGTAGCGATGCCCTTTGTTCCCAATTCAATCTCCCCGAATCCAATTCCCCCTCCATCTTCGTTCCACGGCTCAGGGAGCTCCGGGGCCGCTGGTGGCGGCAACGGCTCACTGATCTCCTGACGTCCAATCACCCTGCGGGCATGGTATCCATGGTTTCCAAGGACCACGTGGCTGTGTCGTAAAACAGGGAGACCTCCTAGTTCATCCGAAAAAGACCAGTCATGACCAGTCTACAGTCTACCTCAATGGGCCAGGGGGTCTCCCTACAAAATATATACATATATAGATACACACAGAAGTGTGGTATCCCTAATTGTTTGTTCATTCATAGAGCCGGAGGAAAGTCGCATGTCTCGTCCCCTCCTCATGTACCGAGGTCTCAGTCGTAGCAGGCTTCCAGTTGTCTTCCCCGAAGCCTCGGTACGGAAGCACAACGACCGAACGTGGGGCGAGCATCGGTGGTGGCGGGCATCTCCACCTTTTCAAGGTTCTGGTGTGCTGGGTGCTCATTACAAGACCCGTGCTGTGGTGTGCTGTGCGCGGTGGTGTGCTCTCTGTGTGTGTTTGTGTGTTTTTTGTGTAAGCTTCGAAGGTTCAAGATGCATCCAACAGAAGACCTCAGACTGTCAGACGTAGATGTGACGATATATCCCTTATGTTTGGCCAGCAACTCATTGCTTGAGTTTCGTTTGAATACTTGCTCATTGCGAAGCCCCTTCAGCCTGAAGATTTGACGAACCACCCAGGTCACCAGCATCACACACCACGTCTCGGTCCATCCCAACGGGAGGTCGGGCGGTTCCGCGCAGCTGGTCGCTTGCGCTTGGGTGAGCGGCTCAGTGTGCATGGTGGAAACCAGCAACTCAACGACAACCCAAATAAGAGAAGGGATGAAAAGGGCTTTAAACATATGGCGTTATTAAAAAATAGAAACACACAATAGTGGGACGATCCAAGGTCCTGCTGACCCAGATCTACTCTTTACAAGTCTTCAGAACCTCGACACATTCTCTCCAACGGTGCCCAAGGGGCGTTCGCCGCAGAAGTCCCAGCCTCGCTGACCGCCCGACCGGTTTCGGCAAAAAGCACCCCGATGGTCGATGTCCACCCGGTGGGGGTGCCTGATTTCAGCAATCATATGTCTGTATTAAGTATAGCTGGGCTTATAGCTGTCACTGTGTCTTATTTAGCTGACAGGCTTCATAAGGTCTTAGCAATGTCTTAGCTCTGTCAGCTAGCTCATGAGCTATGTACTCACAAGCGTGAGAGCAACTGGACCGTGTCTGCACTCGACCGGTCTCCAGGTCCATCACAGTATACCGGTTGGGTGTCCACTGGGCAGGATTGTGGGCGCGACATGGCTGTGGATCACCAAGGACCAATGTTGACCACGGAAAATGAACAGAATGGGCTACTAAGGAGGTCAACCTACCAGGGCCTAGAATTTCCAGATTTGAATGCCAAAGAAAAGCGTCCAGGGCCAACTGGTTCGAAACCAACCAGGTATTGGACCACCGAAGTAAGGGATCATGTTGAGTAGGGCGTTGGCTCTGGTTGGGTTTTCAGTTGCAGTGGAAGGACTGTCATTAGGGACTCGTCCCATTGAGGGAACCCCCAAAACACCCAGTTGAAGAGACCAGGGCCGAACCCATCACGGGCGAGGTGTTGGCGTGGTTTGGACCCTACAAAACCATGGAAAACGAACGGACGTCGTGAGCAGGACGTGAACCTCGTTGTTGACAGAACCTGTCAAAAGTTCGGGAAGTCGCTAGAAGATGGTCGGCAAAGTGACCTAGCAAAGGCACAACCCTCGCTTCTCTTCTCCTCATCTTCTGGTCAAAGTGACCTGTCTTTGGTCATAGCTCACAACCAGGTGTTTTTGCCGCAATCCGCAGAGTCGGATGGGATACGAGCACGTTTACTTAATTAGTATAATCCATCAGTTATTGGAGACTCGATCCTACAATTCGAACATCCTCTTCATCTAAGTGCATCCCGGGTGCTACAGCATCCGCAAGATCGCAGAAGTATGTAGAAGTCAAAAAATTCCAGAGGTTCCCTTCAATGCCCCCAAACTCGGCATCCCAAATCCTGCATCGTGAATCAATAGCAGAGACAACTTCAACGGCTTCCCAAGATGAGGAGTTGAGAAGACCTCCAGAACGCCTGGATTTTCGACCAACCCATGAGGAAAAGAAAATCCGTCATACCAAGATACTCCATCCAAGAGTCATGAAAACCCTGAAGAAAAGAGAAAAGTACTCCATCCCCCTCTGCAGGCAGCTGGCTATGTGAGGCATTCCAGCCCATGCCCGCCAGCTCCGGTCGTTCGTCATCCACGGTGGTGGGGCAGACGCGGAACATGCCACTGCTGTCCCTCAGATGTGGGCACTGCTTTTCGGGCAAAACAGACGTCGACTGGGACGGAGAAACGCCCCGTACCAAGCACCGAGCACATGGAGAAGCTCCGAGGTTCCGCATCCCATCTTCCCCATCTTCCTTGCAGGTCCCAAACAATGATGCCATCAGAAACCCATGTTCATCTTCCAGGGTGTCCTGATTTCAGGCTCTTCAAGTCAATCCACTAATGAGATCGAATCGACACTCTGGCTTGGGATGGCACCGCCTGATGGACATGTATGCGGCCCTCAAAGTCCCTTAGATGTCGACATTGATGGACATCATGAAAGATATATATTATATCTATTAGACATATGCAATGCATATGACTATGCATATGACCATATATAAACATGTATACCATGACGAGTCCCATGTCATGTGCATCCCGTTCCTTGGGACTCGGTGACGGGACGCGCTGCGGTGAATGAAACGCTTCGGGTGTGCGGTCTCGTCTCGCTGCAGTGAGGCTACCACTCTGGTTTGAGTGTGTATTTTAACAGAGTGAAACCTAACATGGCCTCCAACCTACATGCGATGGCCTCCAACCTAACAGCTTCTAGCTTTCTAGCTACTAGTAATAGCCTCCACACGCTGTGTTTTGGTCTATTTTACATCTTCCAGGGGGTCGAACTGGGGGGTCTCCCTATTTAATCTTCACATCATATCCTATCAGGATTTGCATTCTCATGCCCCATCACACAACGCGATATGGGTCTCAACAACCATTAGCACGGAATCCCAAGTTGCCAACAGTGTTTCTTCCAAACAAAGGTTTCCTGTATTTCCCTGTGTTTCACCCAGCCCCATACTTCCTTTTCAGTGCCAAATCCCACAGCCAGGGGGCGTGATGGTGCATAAATGCCTCAGATGCAACCGTCCGAATTCGCGTTCCCACCTCCTCTTGCGGACGGAGCTTCACCGAACCGGGCCGTCCGAGAGCTCATCCGAACCGGATTCCTCCGAGGATCGGCCGAAGCGAGGATCGGTGGTGGATGGATGGCCCGTCCAGTCCGCCACGGCGCGTGGTGGCCGAGGGCATCCATTCCCCGCGGACGACGAAGGACTACGCAGTGTCGCGAAGTAGTATAAGATGTGGATGGAACCCATTGGACCCCTGTTTGGGTTGACCCCTGTGTCTTTGTGACCGGTCTCATCAGCGTTTTTTTGGTGCCCCCAAATATAAAGACGTCTGCCTGGATTCCAAGGGCTACACGACACACACCCACAGCGCTGACACCGCTGACACCACTGACCCACTTAGTAATAAGAAGCTATTAGAAACAATAAGCTACTAGGAATAGGTGCATCGCTTCTAGTAACAAGTGCCTTACTAGTAACAAGAAGCTATTAGGAACAAGTGCCACGCTAGTAGTAACAGGTGCCTTACTAGTAGTAACAAGAAGCTATTAGAAACAATAAATAGAATTTAATTAGAATCTAATTAGAGTCTTCGATTCATGAGCCAAGGAACTGATGCTCAGGGTCTTTCCTGGGCGAGGAAAACCGTGTGCTTCTCGCACCGTCAAACCCCGAAACGGGTGATGAATCACCGGTGAATTGGGCTTTATCACAAAAAGGGCCGGCAATAATGGTGAGCTCAATCGTTTAAGCTCTCCGAGCACGAAGCTTGGTGAGACAAGCAGTGGTTCCTTCTCTCAGGATCCCATGTCTCTCTTGAGACTGCTCGGCCAGTACCACGAAGGTGCCATTCTGGAAATACTCGTACGGGCATGAGAATGCGAATGCTGGGACCATGCTGAAGATTTGCGGACTGAATGAATGAATGATGTGTAAGATGCTTCACAAGGATGTGTATTAAACTAGGGAGACCTCCCAAAGACCCTTTGGAAGAGGGAAAATAGACTGAAACCCAAAAACCCTGTGATTGATGCATTGGGGGTCTTCTTATTTTAGTTTAATACTCACCTAGGCAAATGCCAACCAAGGGTTTTTTTCGGTTTACTCCCGTTCCCCTCCTCCAAATGCGTTCTGGAGATTAGATTGTGGCAGCCTCAGAGCCTGGGGATGAGAACTGGCCCGCTCGAATTCAAGGTGACCTTGAAAAACTACCAAGGCGCATGGCCGCATGGTGCTCTCTCTCTCTCTCTCACTGACACTTCGAATCATCCACATCCCCCAAACAGATGGGATCTGCGTGGATCCACCTTCTCGGGAGCTACCACTGGACCCTCGAAGCCTACATGGACATCTGTGATCACCCAGGGCCCATGGGAGCTCCATGCAGACTACCAACGTCCAAGGAGCTCGGAAGAAGTATCAACGTGTGTATAGGCTCGCCAATACCACAAAGAAAGACTGGTGAAATATAATGTATATATATATATATTCGCCCCTTGCCCTTACTGGTAACACCCTGAAACTCTCCAAGCATTCTTTCCTCCATCTTCCTGCTCACCCCTTACTCAGTCCACTGACCACCTCACTGGTTCACTCTTTTGTGAAGAAGCCTCAGTAGCACCCCCCATTCCTGGGTGGTTTCAGAGGCGAGAAAGATGCGAAGAATCTCCGCCATTTTACCACCTGTGACTCGTTCGTGGACGAACATCAAATCCGAACGAACGTCGGCCTCCAAGTCTCTGGTACTGCAGCATCGCCTCCACCGATAGACGGTTCCTCAAGGGCACCTTCGTCAGGTCCAGCGTGCCATCCTGGAGGAAACGGAGGGACCGGGTTTGAACGGCCGGCAACTACCTCAAACCGTCCGCGAGTCAACGGACACAATGTCTACTGGAGTTCCAGCTGACCAGAGTCGGCTCCAAATGAAGCACGGCGCTGGAATTCAGCACTGAAGGGTGGCAAGTAGTCTTGAAGTAGCCTTGTAGCAACTTGGTGCTTGCTCATGCGGGTGTCTACAAGCCTGGGGAAGCCGGAAATTGTTCGAAGACAGATTGGGCTTAGCTACTGATAGATCAATACCACTAGACCAAGGGTTCTGGCGGGTTGTTTATTAGATCCGGAAAAAGGGACCACTCCGCAGCTCATGTCTACAGTCATCAAGGACCTGTAGCAATGATGTTCAGGACCAGCTAGTCACTATCTATGCATCTATATAATCTTACACCCTTCCTCGATTCCTGCTATTTAGCGGATCTCTTGATATATTTATATACATATTAATACACATCATGGCAGCGGGCGAGCCCCAGGACCATTAAGAAGGCCCCTGGTCATCAGGTCCTGGTTATGCATCTGACCCACCTGTCCCAATGAAACAAGCTCCTGTCCCAATCAGTCAAGGACAATCATCCACAATGGCTCGCTCTGGGCTCTTTATATTTCATTCTCGGTCAGTCGTAGGAGAGGAGAGGGAAGTAGAAAGATATGATTCTCAACTGTTCCCGTGTTTCTTGAACATGGTTGACCATCTGGAAGACCCATGGCCTGCTTGAGGAAGAATGGGTCTTCCATATATCTCCTGCAAGACGAGGTTTCGCACGACTCCGCACGGACGGTGCAGGACGAGCAAAAGGAAGGGGTTTGACAATGCAGCAACTGGGGCAAACGCACGCCATCTGCAAAAATGGCAGCAGGGAAGTAGCCGCACCCTGTTTCTTACAACAAAAGGACAGAAGGGATTGCACGATATGTTTGCAACAATATGTGTTGCCTTCATTCTAGCACCACTAACGTACCAGAGTGTGTTCCAAGGGCCCCCAAAGCAAAATAAACCTCTAAGCCTCTCGTCTGACGTCTCAGAATAAAGTGGCGACCAAAGGGTCTTGGGACTGCGCCTCCACATTTGGGATAGACCAACAGGGATTGTTCAAACTCTGTAGGGATTTTCCTGGGCCCTCCAAGTTCAAAGCATTGAAAAAGGTTTAGAAAAGGTTGGAAACACCTTTTTCTTGACCTGATACCCGGAACTAAGGCACAAAATCTACAAAATTCCGTGGAGACTTTATAGTCCTTCTGGGTCATCTACCTGGGATTCGCTTGCCGCCCAGAAATAAACCAATCGTTTCTAGTAAACCTCCCAAAACACAGCAGCACGAGGCAAACAGCCCCGGCCAGGGTGAACAGCGCAGCTTGCTAAGCTGGCCTACTGTCCTTCCTTCCTTCCTTCCTTTCTTCCTTCTTTCCTTCCTTCCTTCCTTCCTTCCTTGAATTCTTCCTTCCTTTGTTTTCTGTTTGACGCATGTTTGTTTCTTTGTGATGTTTCTTTGTGGGTTTTGTCTCTTAAAAGCGCCTCCCCGGCAGATCGCCAACTCTAACCAAATCTTCAAGTTTTCTGCTGAGGCTTCCATTGTCTATTGGAAGCCACTCCGGGCTTCTCACTGCATGGTTGGTCAACAAATATGCTTTCATGCCTCTCTTTCTTGACTGGCCCCCCAAAAAAGTTCTTTCTTGACTGTGGAACTGCTGGAGCTTCAGCTGTAAACATCCCAAAAAACGTTCCGGGCAAGATCATGCGCTCGAGTCATCTCCTCAGCAGGTCGCCCCTCCACGCGCACATGGCACCATGCGCCGTCCGTGGTGCGGCGCCTGACAGTCGCGGCGGGGCCGCCGGTGGCAGGGGAAATCCAGGGGGAAATCCAGCAAAGCAGGGGAAGGTGTGTGTGAATCTGTGCATGCTTATGGCATCTAGCTCATTCATGTTCATTCTGGTTCTCCTATTCCTTGACGAACCATTTACCTGCTGCACTCTCCGCTGTCCCCCTCCCACAAAACCTGGCCCCATCTCCCAACAAAAAAACACACCATCCTCCACCGATATCGCCGAGACCGTCTTTCTTTGGTCCATCTCGCTGGAATCGGATCCCGCCTGAGCTGAGACCCAAGTGTGGCTCGCAGTAGTCCCAGACCGCCCCCGACCGGTCCAAGTCTGGTCGGACCGAGGTCACCAGACGGTCGAAGGAGGTGAAAGCGGAGAACGACATGGGAAGGGCATGGGAATGGGACGGGAATAGCACAAATGCACCCCTCTCTCTCTTCTCCTTCTC